TCAGAAACTGGATTTCGTTCTTTCTGAAAATCGCACCTTTACTCCATTTCGCAAATTTTTTTTTTTTTCAAAATCGCAGTTTGTAAAAGACGAAAGTTTGCGGCACCTAGCCTAGATCTCGTTCATAATACTCTTCTGACATATCCTACTCATCATAAATCGACAGATATATACAAAAAAAAAAAAAAGGAAGTAGTCCTTTTTTTGTTTTTTATTTTATCTGTTGATTAGGGCCGGAGGAAAGTATTGTTGGGTTGGTTACCTCCCTCCGTTTTCCCTCCCACCCACCCCTTGCATGCATCCCGTTTCGGTACAGCGCCACGTCAGCAGTGTCACGTCACAGTGCCAGATCAGCAGTGCCACGTCACAGTGCCAAGTCACAGTGCCACATCACAGTGCCAGATCAGCAGTGCCAGGTCACATTGCCACGTCAGACATAGTGCCACGACAACAGTGCCACGTCAGACACAGTGCCATGTCAGCAGTGACGTCCGACACAGTGCCATGTCAGCAGTGCCACGTGAGCAGTACCACGTCAGACACAGTGCCACGTGAGCGGTGCCACATCAGCAGTGCCACATCAGCAGTGCCATGTAAGCAGCAGTGCCACGTCAGCAACATGACGGGCCTGCCAGGCCAACWGGCCAATGAGACCATTGCCGCCTACAAGCAGCGTTGCCTGGCTCAGATAGAGGCTGAGGAACAACGCCTGCTGGCAGTCGAGGCTGCCCGCGTACAGGCGGAAGAGGCAGCAGAAGTAGAACAGCTGCGGCTACAGGCCGATGCAGACGCAGATGCCTAGACTCACCGCAAGGAAGCCCAGGATCTGCTGCAGCGGCATGAAGCCAACAGCATCGACAGACTCAAGTACTGGCATTTTGAACCGAACGGCGACGAGGCAACACCGGAAGAGAAGCACAAGGAGTTCCTCTCCAAACTCATGACGCGGTTGTTGTATGCTTGCAACTACCAACGGTCAGAGTTGGAGAGACAGTACCGGGACCTGACGCAACAGCATCAGGAGTTGGCGACGCTCCACCGCACAGTGCAGGGCCACGAGGATGCAACTCGGGCACTCAATGCCCGATTGTTGGACCTGGAACAGGTTGTACCAGGACCAGCTGCTGGGGCTTCTAGCAGTGCACCCTCTAACCGCCAACTGGAGGACCGTGTTGACCACGTAGTGGCAATGCTCGGCGACATCAGCACTTTCGTTGCGCCGACCACCACCATCAGCAGTCAGCTGCATACATTGAAGACCGAGGTCCAGCAGCTGCAGACAACGAACGCAAATGGCAATCCGAAGATGTATAAGATGCCAACGTTCACTCTGGAGAAGTTCAACGACTACACGCAGCAGGATCCGGTCCTCTGGTGGGAAGCATTCACAACGCAACTCAGGATTCTGCCCGTAGACACGCATGCGTACATCGGCGCCCTGTTCCTGAACTCAAAGGGTGGATGCCAGACCTGGTTGACCCACCTGGCAACCTCCCACGGCATCGACGTACCTGACTTGAAGGACGTAATCACATGGGAGGAACTGACACGGCTGTGGAAGAAGCGGTTCATCGTCGACGACGCGCCAGCACTCACCATCAACCCACTGTTCACCATGTCACAGGGCAACACAGCAACACGGGACTGGCTCACGGAGTGGCAGAAGATTGCGGCTGTGCCCAATCTGAATCTACCATTCGAACATCTACGCCGTGAGTTCTACAACAGGTCCTATGCTGCATTGAGCCAGGCTTTTGGTGATCGCGAGCAATACTCAACCTTCGCGGAGATTATTGACAAAGCGAGGGAGATCATCAAGACCAACAGGTCAGCTGCACACGAGAAATCAATATCATGGCAGTCGACCTATGTGGAGAAGGTACGAACTGGTCCGCGACAGCAGCACTTCGCTGCAGTCCAGCAGGACAGTGGAGATAACCCAGCAGCCACTCCAGCATCAAGTGACGGAGATCAGGTGACTGCTGTCCAGCCGCGAAGCA